AAGGTACTACAAAATTGTTACCAAAAGCCTATCACATTAGATACCAAACCTATTATTGGAGCCATGAAAGAAAATTTTCCTATGAAAACAGCTCACATAACCGTAAGATACAAAAGAATGATTCAAGTTTTCAGAGCAACAAGAACATTAGATTAGAGGCATACCATCATTTTCGTGTTTAAAAGAGCAAAGTTCAAACTCGGTTTAACAAATCAAGCAAAAAATCAAAAAGGAAAGTGGAGTGTAGATCTGTTTAGTTTGCTATTTCTGTCGTTATTGTCTGGAATGGTAATTAGATGAAAATTTGGATTTATACTGTATTTGGGATTCTGTATAGGGAGCATACAAAGGTGTTTGTTCACAACAGAACGTGCCTAGTTACACGAAGAACATTGATAAGTTCAAGGCTAAAGGAATCGACTCTGTCATTTGTGTTTTCGTTAATGATCCTTATGCTATGAATTCTTGGGCAAGGAAATTGAGAGCTAAAGATGTGGTAAGTCATTCCAAGTTAACAATGTATTGTATTATTTCTTCCTTATTTTGTTCAGTTTATCATTGAAAGGTCTATATTAATCTTGGGATTTATCAAAAAAAAATCGTACTACAGATTATTAGATATCTTTCAGTGGTGATGTAGTGATTCTCTCTGTGCACTAAAAGGATACTCAGTTTTAGAATCACAAACTTTGTCAATTCTTTAACATTATGGAGCCATATAATTGTGTAATTCATACGTACATGCATACATAAATCAAATATGAATATGAAATTTTGAATTGAAGAATAAAAATAAGTTATAGTTCTTCTGTTTTGTAACTAGCAAGAATTGAAAGAAAGACTGTGACAAAGCAGTGGTTTTGGGCCTTTGGCAGGCAAAATAACAAGTAGCGAACCCAATAAGAAGCAATTCAACATTTTCCATGAAATTGTTACTGTAATCTTGTACATTACACCGAGATTAACACGATTTGAACTGGATGCTATGTTGCTAAGATTTCAGCATCTCCCCTTATCTTTTTCTGTTGAAATGCATTATTGTGTTTGTAAGCTAAACTTTAAACTCTTTATTATTCATGTTAAATTAAATATAATATAATATAATACAAACTCCAATAGAAAATGGTTTACACCCTCAATTTATAGGTAAAAAAATCAATTAAGACGATATTTTTTGTACTAAATTAAGCCGTTAAATCATGTTTTATAAAACCAATTTCCAACATTTATTAGCATCTTGCATTATATCTTTGTAGTACATGCTTTCCATATATATAGAAAACAAAATAAGAGAAAATCAATATAAATCTTATCATTCTTCTTCAGCCAAAGTCACTTTCCTTTTTTGCAATACTCCTTTTTAGCACTAAGGTTGTATATCAAAAGAGATAAGGTAAACAAAGCTCCACGGAGGGAGATGGTAGTATCGATTACGGAAGATGGTACGGTGCTTGGACGGAGTCAAGCTGAATGTAACCATGTTGAACGGAGACTAAAGATGGTAGTAGCTGATGGAGAGAATGAGGGGGACAAGGATGCTAAGGATAAGGTAGTAACCTTTTTCATAGATAACTTACCAATGGAATTGCATTGGAAGGGCTTGTGGCAGGTTTTTGGAAGACAGGGCAGAGTTCTAAATGTTTACATTGCAAGTAAGAAAAGCAGAAGGGGAACCAGGTTTGCTTTTGTAAGAATAGATAGCATGCCTGAAGCAGGAAGAATGATTGGGAATCTAGATGAGAAAATTATTAACAATTGTAGAATATCGATGTCTTTAGCGAAAAATAGAAGATTAGCATCGGAAGGGAAGAAAGCCTCATCAAAAAAGAATAGGCCACAAGTATTTGTAAGTAGCGAGGTGATGTCTGATCAACTACTAAATAGCAAGAAAATGATGACTAGCCATGTTGAAGAGGAGATATAGAATTTGAGAATGTGTCTGGTTGGGGATATGATGTCGGTATATTGAATCTGAATTACAAAAGTGGGGTTTAGGAGAGATAAAGGTCCAGAGGTTGGGAGGAAAATCATTTCTATTAACTTTTGAGGATGAAGACATTTATCTGCTGCCGGAGGATCTACAATGGTCATATTTGAGAGAAATTTTCTCAGAGATCAAACCCTGGTCGGAGTCACTAAACCAAGTGGGAAGGGCGATATGGTTGGAGGTGTTTGGACTTCCCCTCCATTGTTGGAATGAAAAAAGTTCAAGAATCTGGAAACTTTATGGGGAACGTTTGAATCATTGGGGGATAACTGGGACCATAGTGAGGATTGTGAAAAGACTATAATTTTAATCCCAACAAAACAACGTAACATAATTTTTTAGTAGTAGAGGTGATGGCTGGTGAGTTTAAGTATGAAGTGGGGGTGGTAGAGTTTGGTTTCAAGGATGAGTCAAACATTAAACCCAAGTTTGATGCAAAGACAAAGAAGACGGATTAAGAATTAGAGTAAAACCTTGATAATGAATCGTCGTCTCAGCTCCCGGTTGACTCGTCATCGGAGAAGCTAAAGTCGCAAAGAAAGGAGAGAGAGAATGAGATTATCCAAAAAATGGCGATGGAGGACGAGAAAGCATTTAATGACGCGAGTATTGGAAATGAACCTGTCGAGGAAAATAATGATGAGGGTGTCTCAAAAGAAGTTGGGGGCATAGACTTAGGTTCTCTTATTAAATACCCTATGATTGTTGGCCAGGAAACTCCTACAAAACCTGAATAGGCGGGAGTGAATATTGAGATGGCTGATCAGGAGAAGTTATGTGGGGAGTTGGTATTTCAATCTGGGACAATTAAATCTAAGGATTGGGCATATAAGGCTGAGCGCATTGTAGGTCGGGCAAGCCTTGGTTCAAAAGTTGTGGAGAATTTCATAGGAAATTAGAGGATCCAGCGGATGAGCATCCCATAACTATTTCCTCCTGGGATGAAGACTTCAATGGGTTGATGAATAATTAGTTTTGTGATGATATGTGCATGGACTAAAGTCAACATTTTGACGGGGATGACCCACAAGGTTTCTTTAGAGAACTGAAGTATGGGTGGGGGAAAACAGGAGAATAGAAAAGTATGGATCGATGCTAAACATGCAAGATTGTGTTCTGTCAAAATCTGATCGAGAAAAGAGGGATAAGGTGCTGAAAAGACAGAAGGTACAGGAAAAAGATATAGAGTCATCGGAGTTCTTGGGTCGGTCTCTGTCTAACTTGGATATTGGAAAAAATGGCAAATATAAAAGAAAGGAGCAGAAAGAACAATCAGCTTGGGAAAAAATTGGGTATCCAGATTATTGGAGAAGAATCTGCGATATTAAAAGAACTGGCAGCATTAGAGGCTGTTTAAACTTGTTTTTTCTTTATCAATCGTGAACGGAGGTAGATGCTTGAATATGGGTACGTGTCGAGCTTAAAGGGATTTGAGTATGAGTGTTTTTCAGAAGGGATTTGGATAGAATGAGGATCATCAGTTTGAACATTAGAGGCTTAGGTGCTGAAACTAAGTCATTGGCACTTGGTTACTGTTGACAAATTACATAGTGGATATATTTCTGGTTCAAGAAATGAAGATGGAGGCGGTGTTGGAGGTTGATATTCAAAGATTCTGGTTAGATGATGATTTTTAGTTTTAAAGAGGTAAATGCGATTGAACGATTAGGTGGGCTAGCGGTTGTGTGTAACAATATGTTGTTTGTGGTGGAAAAATCACAAACAAATCATAGGTTTATATATGTATTGGGTAAGTGGATCAACCTAGCTCTAAATATGTCAATCGTTTGTTTTTGCTCCGAACGGTGTTTCAGAACAAATCGAATTATGGAATGAACTATGCATTTTGAGAAGTATGGATCCAAATGTGTGGATAGTTGCTGGAGATTTTAATGTTGTTCGGAGTAGGAGCGAGAGACGTAGAGGTATGGGGTCGATTGTCGGGTGTAAGGAGTTTAATGAGGTCATTGCCAATTGCAAGTTAGTCGATCTTACGATGAGAGATAAGAAATTTACATGGTATGGTCCAGCGAACAGGAGTTGTAGTCTGGATCGATTTCTATTAGACGAGAAATGGTTCTTCGGAGGTGGCAATTTTGAACAATTTGGTCTAAAATGGATTGTGTCAGACCATGCGTCGCTAATGCTTGTATCCGACAATGTGGACTGGGGCCCTAAACCATTTAAAATTTTCAATGGGTTGCTCAACAAAACGGACTGAAAAAGTTGATAAAGGAAACTCTTAGGAAACATAGGGAACATGTCGGATTTGATGTTGAAAATGAGATGAGTGAAATGTGCGATGAAAAGTTGGAATGTGAAGTCTTGTGAAGATTTTATTTCGAAGGTAAAGAATTTAGAGATTAAAGTGAACTAGTTAGAAGAAAAGGACAATGTCTCCGGATTAAGCGCCCAAGATCAATTGAAGCTGGAAATTTTCAAGGAGTTATGGGAAGCGTTGAGAGTCCAAGAAGTGATGTCGAGAAAAAAATCACGTATTAGATGGTTAGCTCTTGGTGACTCGAATACTTTATTTTTTCAGAAAGCAGTGAAGTTTTGCTCCTGTAAAAACAAGATGGTCGGCTTGCGAATTAAAAATAAGTGGATTAACGAGTGGAACAAATTAAATTGGGTCTTGTTCGAACATTTCAAGAGACACTCTGATTCCCAAAGCCGAGACTGGGGAGCTAATTTTCAGTTGGATTTCAAAACCTATCTCATTCAAAGGCAAAATTACTGGAAGTACCTTTCTCAATGGAGGAAATAAAAACTGCAGTTTGGTCATGTGAAGGATCAAAAGCTCTGGGCCTGATGGATTTAAGTTACATTTTTTAAGAAATGTTGGGAAGAATTGAAAGCAAATCTTATGGGGTTGATGTTCACGTTTCTTAAACACATGCAAGCTACCGGAGAAACTTAATGCATTTTTATTATGTTGATTCCAAAGATTCAGAACCCGACTTTGGTGTCCGGTTATAGATCGATAAGCCTAATAGGCTCGATTTATAAAATTATGGCGGAAGTGTTAGCGAGATGGCTAAAGATCGTATTGGATGTGTTGATCGGTGACACTCAGTGTGTATTCATTGCGGGAAGACAAATAACAGATGGAATACTGGCAGAAAATGAGATTATTTACTCTATGTTTGAGGTTAGTTCGGAGAGTGTGGTAGTTGTGCTGATGCTAGACTTCTCTAAGGCATATGACTGCGTGAGGTGGGAAATTCTAATGATGGTTTTGGAAAAGCTAGGATTCAGTAGGTTGTCGAGAAGATGGATTTGGGCTTGTGTATCCTCAGCTAGCATCTCAGTGTTAGTTAACGGATCCCCTACAACGGAGTTTCGAATAAGGAGAGGGCTCTAGCAAGGAGTCCCGTTGTCACCGTTCCTGTTTATCATTATGAAAAAGGTTCTACATCACTTTTTTTATCAAGGCAGAGATGTTGGGTGAGATTAAAGGCATTGAAAATGTTATTCCCCACCAGTCATTTACTCATTTACAATTTGTGAACGACACAATTATTTTCATGAAACCAAAAATGTAGTTTTTAGTGATTATTAGACGAATATTGAGGTTTTGAGGTTTGCTCGGGCTTAGTATAAACTTTAGTAAATCATGCATTGTAGGAATAAAGTTGGATTCTACTTTGGTTACCGATTTTTCCAAATGTTGTCGATGTAAGGTGGGTTTATTACCTTTCTCATATATGGGTCTTCCTTTAGGAGCAGACCCATGGAAAATTAAAACATGGGATCCAATCATTGAATGGTTCCAGGTGAAGTTGGCTGGGTAGAAGATAAACCCACTCTCGTTTGATAGGAAAGTAACACTAATTAATTTTATGTCCCTTTTCGAAGTCCCAAAGCTGGTGATATAGAAGTTAGAAAACATTAGAAGGAATTTTTTATGGGATAGCTCACCGGGGAAGAAAAAGCTAGTACTGGTAAGTTGGAGTAAGATGTGTCTTTCCCGTTCTAAAGGGGGAGCAGGGGTGATAAATCTTAGAGCAAAGAATGAAGCTCTATTGACCAAATGGGATGGAGGTTTAATGTGGAGAAACAAGCATTATGCCACAGAGTAATCTCCTCAAAGTATGGTAATCCCTCTGATAATGAGCTGTTAAATTCTTCCATTGTAAAAAATATGTCTATTGTATGGAAAGGCATTGTTAGGAATTGGTCAAAGGAGAGCATGAGTAGGTGAATGAGATCAGATGCTTTTCGATGGGTTGTAGGTGATGGTAAACTTATTCTTCTTTAGATTGACGTTTGATGTGGTGATGAACAGTTGAGATGTACTTTTCCTAGACTTTTCAGGCTAACAAGAGAGAAACAGGTTGTTGTGGGATAGGTGATTGGTGGTGAGGATGCAGGTGGTTTTGGTTGCTCATCGGCTTTTAGTAGAGCACTACTTGACCGTGAATGAGACATGGTAGATGCTTTGAAGGCGTTATTCCAGGATTGTAAGATGGTGGAGGGAAAAAGTGATAGGATTGTTTGGAAACATGACGAAGATTGATATTTTTAGGTGAAGAAATTATCACAACTAATTATTGATGCAGATATGGAGGATCCGCAATTTGACTTTGACAAGGTATAGAAATTTCTCATCCCTCCAAAGGTAAAAAATTTCCTTTGGATGTTGATAATTGGTAGAGTGCCAACAAAAGTTTTCATCAAGAATCGGGGTATTGAAGTAGAAGGAATGAACGCCACTTGCGGATGGTGTGATGTTTGATTGGAGGATGTTGATCACCTTTTTGTGGGCAACAATCTCTCAAGATGTTAAGGTGGGATTGAGTGAGTGTGGTGGGGTTCTCAAATCTCCATCCAGTGCGATACGGGAGTTTTTCTCTTTCCCTGGACTGGCCATGTTGCTGGTGGTTCCAATGTCCTTGCAATAAATTTAGCATTGTCCATCGTTGAAGAAGCCAGTTTTGGGGAGATGAAGTGCTTGGTGGTGAACTCTACTTCTAAAGTTATTTTTTTGGATTACTAACCCCTTCTCTTGTTCAGAGGCTTTTTGGTTCATGTTTAGGGATATTGATGTTAGATTAAGCGGTTTGAATTATGTCTTGACTGGTTAACTTTCTCGGGTTTGTTTAGGTTTGAATCGTGTAAAGCTTGATGGTGATTGATAAGTTATTTTTTCCTTGTTCAAGAGTGTGATTAATGGTAGGTTCGGGGAGAAGTGGTGGGGGTTATATTACATATAATTTTGAGGTGGGTCCAATGTAAGTTGAGTGACAACTGTCATTTTCGATGTCAAAATAAATTTCATTCTTCTCGGATAATAAATAAAGGAAAATTCGTAGCATAGAGAAGAAAGGGTCGATTCCACAGGGACTTGGAAAATTATAAGTTTCTCCTCGATTTATTTATGTCTGGCATGATATAGTGAATGAAGGGGGTTTTGGTTAAATGAGAAATAGTAAAAATAAATAAAAACAATTTGAGTAAAAATAAGAGAATAAAGTTTGTGAATAAATACGGTAAAAATAGCCTCAAGCCTTGCTTTAACTCAATTTCCTCTTGATCATCGAATTAGATTTTCCCTTCAGGATTCACGTCGGTTACTTTGTCTACAAGGGCAATCCCCGTGACTCTACCTTGTATACCGAATACCCAAGGCAATCTTTGATTTCGGCTTCGGAAATTGATTCTAACAACATCAATTTTTGTAGATCAATTACCGTTTGAGTTCATGGCGACCGACTCGGATTGTTTCTTCAATAACCGTCAATTCTGATCTCAATTATTTCTTGGCGAAGCCATCTTGCCAATTGTGTTCCCAGGAAGTCAAATTGCTTTCTATAAGTCGAATCTTCCTCCCACACATTTAATCGCAACAACCTCTTGGCCAAAGTCAATCTTTGATTTTGAAAACTGTTTTGATTTTGAAAAATAAGCGCAGAGATTGAGAGAGATATTCCGAATATATTAAGGGTCTGTTTCAATTCTCCTATTGGAATTGAGTCATTGCATCAGCTCTCGGGTTATAAAAAATTTAGCTAAGCATGACAAAAGTCATACTTAGCATATTAAAAACAAAACTTGAAAATAAAAGAAAAATGGAAAGAACTTGAAAAGTAAAAAGAGAAAGCTTTTATAAAACTAGAGAGAAAAGAAGAATGTAATTTGAGTGATGAGTTTAGGCTTACCCCAAGTGGGTATTTATAGTCTCTCAAAGCCTAAGGATAAAAAAAGAAAAGAAAATAAAATAATCGTAAATATAATTGTTTAATTTAAATTCAAACTTAAAACTAGTCTCCTAATGCAACTCTACTCATCCATCTTCTAGAAGGTGTGCGGAGGAAGTCTTCTAGAAACCGTGACTGATTGGACCTTCTAAAAATCGCCACGTTAGACTGCGTCGTGCCCAGAGTCGTGCCCATGTCTCCAGCCGTGACCAAATAATAAAAAAAAGCAGAATGCGCCCATTTTATCACTAATTCTGGAAAGTAAGGACCTGCACGAAAATAGACATAACACAACCAAATCAACAGCAATAAATCCACAAAATCGAAGAAATAACGAGCAAAGATTAACGATTTTGAACACTCATCAAATTCCCCCTCACTTGTCTCATGCTTGTTCTCAAATATGATTAATCAAATCAATAAAAAATTTCATTTACCATTCTTTGTCAAGTTTCACATTCGAGGAAGCAAGGTAAAGACCAAAATAACTATTCAAGTCAAGAAATCAATCAATTGAACATCATCAATTGGAACAAATCAAGTGTGATTGTAATATCCATTCATTCATTAATCTCAATGCTTATAACTCAACACCTATCGGGATTCACTCAAATCACTCAATGTGTTTGGGGGTAAAGAAATGCTCAATGTCAGAACCGACACGATATTACCATAGGCCTGCAAGTAAATCAAATCTCCACTACTAATAAGAACAAGATGAATAAATCATAGGATCTTTTATTTGTTGTAACGGGGCTTAAGTAAAGGTGGGGAAAAGGCAAAATATATGGTTAATTATTCAAGTCAATGAACTAACAAATAATAATTTCAACTCCATCAAAACATTGAGCATAACAAGATAAAAAGACGACATATCAAACAACAAATTTCCTTTCGAACTGCATTTTTCTCATAATGCCTCTCAAAGCCTAAGGATAAACAAAGAAAATAAAATAAAATAATCATAAAGATAATTGTTTAATTTAAATTCAAACTAGTCTCCTAATGCAACTCTGCTCGTCCATCTTCCAGAAGGCATGCGGAGGAAGTCTTCTAGAAACCGTCGCTGACTGGACCTTATAGAAACCGCCACGTCAGACTGCGTCGTGCCCATGTCTCCAGCCATGACCAAATAATAAAAAAATACAGAATAGGCCTTTTTATATCTAATTCTGAAAAGTAAGGACCTGCACGAAAATAGACATAACACAACCAAATCAGCAACAATAAGTCCACAAAATCGAAGAAATAATGAGCACAGATTAACGATTTTGAACACTCATCATTGAGTCTATTATACTGTTGTTTATGGCTATGGTGTTGCTTATTTGGTTGCAAAGTACTCAGTTTTGGAGGTACTACTTTCAATGTATTGTTTTGTTGAAGAGGTAATCGCTTTGTTTTGCTTTTTTGTAACTGTTTTTGTCTTGTTCAAGTTTGGTTACCCTGCTCTGCGTAAGTTTGGTGCTATATGGGTGGCCTCATATTGTATGTCTGGTTTGGTACAGCGTTTTCGGTTGTTCGATTATTGTATTGGGTCTTTTATGTTTTCTCTTTGTTTTTACTCTCTTCGAAGTGTATTTTTCGTGACTTGGTGTTTTGTACTCTTTCCCTCATTTGGCTTAGGAGGATTTTTAATGAGGCATTACACCAAGTAAATTCATATTCATATTAATAAAACCATTTTTTCGATAAAAAAAATATTATTCCATACAAGGCCAAATTGAATATTATATATACAATACAGAGCTATATGTTACGCATTTGAACCAAAGTAGTAGGTTAGATATACATAGATGGGGAAGTTTTCATTGACTTTGATTATTTTGATTGTAGATTCAAAGATGGTGGCACAGGGAAGGGGACCTATCGCTCATTGGCCTTGCGATAGTGATGTGCCTTGTCAAACTAATTGTGCAGCTTATTTCGGCTGCCCCAAGTGTGGTTGCGGTCCTGATCACTATTGTCAATGCCTTCTTTCCCCAAAATTTTCATTATCTTAAAATCTAAATATTTTCAGCTAATAAATCACTATAATATCCTTTGTAAGTGCAATAAATATTCTCGCAATGTAGTTAATTATTATTATTATTTTTATTATTATTGAGATTAATTAGACTTTTCTTCTTTTCCTTATGATTTTAATGTAGCCTTGCCAATCTCT